TTTTCATCTTCCACACAAAATTTTATCTATCATAATACCGTCTATCATAATAATCAATAATTTCAATATATATATAACCATTAGTATATTCATCACAATGTAAACGTTTATTTTTAATAATAAAAATTCAAAAAAAAAGTACATTTAAAATAAATTGAAATGATCGCTACGTTTAGGAACGGAAATATTTTCGAGCCATCTTTTAGTTTATTAAATTTAATAACTTCATAGTTATTAAAATTTGATATGCTAAAAGAAAGGTGTGGAAAAAAAGAAGAGTGATTCACTTTTGAAAAAGAGTTAAAATGAAGAAAATTATAAAGAAGGGCATTTTAAAATTACATTTCAATCATAAATTTACATTTCAACATTCGTTTTTAAGATTAAAGTTGTACTGAATGAATGTAAGTTATCTTTCATCGTTTTTTCTTTCTTTATCTTTAATTTTAATACAATAAATGAAAGAATTTAAAATTCTCAGAAAAAAAAAACTTCCAGTTAAACGAAATAATTCAACAACTGATTTAAAAAGATGCTTATGACAAAATGAAAAAAAAAAAACTCCCATAATGATCAGAATATTTATTAAAGGTAAGAATGAATTATAAACTTATCATAGATACAGGTTAAAAAATAATTTTGAATTGTAATTTAAATAAAAAAAACACAATTTAAGAAGTTATACTTAAAAAATAATTTAGCATAGCAAAGGATTATAACTTAGCATAAATACAGGTTTTAGTAAAATGGATAAATTAGCATAAAATTGCAATGACATCACAAATGTCACAAAACGATTCCAACAACGGCAATTTCTAATCAAATTCTACGAGCTAAATCGTTACCTTACTTGCGAAAATCACAAATTACTATTTCTGTCGTTGGAAAAAAAGAAAAGGTAAAAGAAATAAAATAAAACAAAACAAGTTTAAGTCTAATGTTATAACAGGTATTTTGATTAATTGGCATATAATTAATTAATTAATTTCTAGAATGCTCTTTTATCTATTATGTTAAATAGCTTTTAAAAAAATCGCTGAGTAGAATAAAAGAAAAAAAAGAAAAAAAATCTACGTATTTTTGAACTTTCCGTATAAATATCGTTATTTCATTAAGAAATAACGAATAATAAATGAAAATCAAATCTTTGTGATTAAATACTTTGTATAAAGGAAATAATCATACCTAAATTCCATCCTTAACTTTTTTAATGTCTTTTTAAATTTGATAATGATTAGCAAAAGACCTCACAAGTTGTCTAACCATTGAGTAACTAAAAACTTCCTTAAACATCCTGTTAAAGTTAACAGTTTAAATATTGATATTTTAATCGGAGCTTATTGAATCTTAATTGTATCTTATCTTAATTAAAATTTCTCTAGAAACTTTCAGGAAATGTAACGAAATACTTTGCTTATATTTTATTATATAACGAATGAAATGGAACATTTTCAATAAGTTAAAAGAAAAAAAAAAGGTTATTTCAAAAATTATTTTTATATGAAAAGTGCAAAACGAATTAACAAATCGCTATTACTTATAAATTAGAACGATTTTCGCGTAGACATTTGCGCTTTTAATTTTGGATTAGAAAGAATATTTGCGCAACTTACTATATGATGACAGAATAAATTAGAAACATGAAAATTGTTGAAGCGCAATCAGTCATCATTGAAGTTACAATTGAACTCAATTTGTTAACAATATTGAAAGTAATAAGAATTTATATTAAATTAAATTACTCTTGAAATCGGATGTAATATTTACGAATTTCAGGTTATTCCATTTTTCGTTTTCCTTGGATAGTTCGATGATTTGGATGAAACAGATATGGCAGTTTCAAATATTATGAAAAATAACAAATCAAATGTGCTAAGGCAATTGAACTGAATAAAAGATACGATTCTTCCAAACAATTAAAGAAATTATTGTCTTTTTAAGCGAAAAATGGAAACGGTATGTAAGTAACATGCTACTGCATAATTGCATGCAAAGATATTTTTGCATGTTTAAGTAATGCATGTAACAGAATAAAATTTCATTTCAATAAAAGAAACATTTTGGGTCAGATTTATTGGAATGATTACAAACAGAAATCAAACCAAAAAATAAAATCTATCCATTATTTCAATACTATCCATCCTTAATTATTGATTCATATCGATAGAAGAAAATATGGAATAATTGTTTTAGACCATTGTTACTTAATACAATGAAATAATAAGAAAACCGTTTCTGCTCATAAAATTATTATTTCAAAAATTTCGTACTTCTTTTCATCCTCTTTAAGTTACGCCTAATTTTTAAATGGCATAAATTAAATAGGGATAGCATTTTTAAATCAAACTAATATTTCAAAAATTAAACAAACCTATTTTAAAATTAAGCCATCTTGAATTTCGGAGAAAAAATGATTTCAGTAACCATCCTGAATTTCAGAAAAAATGGTTTCACTAACCAAATTTTGAATTTCGGAAAAAAAGTGATGACAGTAAACATTTTGAATTTCGGAAAAAAATCAGTTTCAGTAACCATTCTGAATTGCGGAAAAAGGAAAAGAAGATGATTATACACTGAATAATATTTAAATGATAAGTTTAAATTTAAAAATTGAATGATTAATATTTTTTTTTCTTTTCTTTTAAATTAACTTTATTTATCAATTATAGCATTAACATAGTATTTTAACAGTACTATAACTAATATTTACTTAACAATACTATTAATATTAAATAAAACTATAAAAGTTAATTTCAAAATTATTAAAAAATTAAAAATTATTAGTTAGCATAGGTGAAATAAATGATAATGAAAATGTAACTACAGTGAACCATTCGAGAAATTGTTGAATTACTGTTTTGATGTAATTGTCAATTGCATACAAGCTAAAACAATTAAGCATGATCTCTGATTCTTGGCGGTGTTTGTAATGCTTGTCAAAAATTTGCTTCAAATGCTATGTGAATATTGATCTACTGTCACTTATAAGGAAGGATTTCAAAAAAAAATAAATAAATAAATAAATAAATAAATAAAATACAAATAAATAAATTTCATTCATTATCATTTCAAAAAAATCTTCCTATTATCTAATCATTCATTTTCAAGAAATGAAAATTAATCAATAACCCTATTTTTAGTATTTATGTAATTATGTTAGAAACTATTTGTGATTATTATATGGTTTAATCATAAAAAGAAAAAAGTAATGATTTTTTTTAGTATTTAGAAAATAAAAATTTTTTTCTGTTTTTTTTTAGATGATAGGTAATAATCAAATTTGTAAAATTTTTTCTTTTTTCTTTTTTTTTAATCTGATTAGAAAAAATGAAATGAAATTTAACACATTGCTTTTTTTTCGCACATATTTTAGGTAATTAGAAAATGATGGCTATGAAATTGAATGTTTGAATTACTGTAAAGAAAAAAAAAATTGAAATCAACCTGCGTAATTTATGACCAAAAAAAAAAAAAAGAATTAATTGAGCTAATTAATTTTAATCAATTATTATCATTAATTTAACATTTTTTACTGAATGAGTATTACTAATTCTTTCAGATTGTTTAAACATTTGATTGTTATTTATCCGAAAGTTTATTTCATTCGTTCTATTTATACTATTTATGCCGGCTTATAGCTTTTACTTTAATTGAAACAATTTGTAAAGGAATAATTCTTATCTAAATATCATCCCATTTAAAAAAATCGTAAAAAAAAAGTGTAAATGGATATAATTAATTTATTTAAATAAAAAGGTATTGAAACAAAAAGAGATTATGGAAGCTCGTTTTGTTATCATATGCCAGAATTATCACTTTGCAATTGATCATTTTATTAGCTTTTAACTTAATTGATTAGTTAAACAAATCAATTAATTCAGTTCTTCTCGTTAGAAAAAAAAGAAAAAGACAACAACAAGATGATCAAAGTAATTGTTATGAATATGAAAATCTGAGCATTAAATGGAGGATTTTAATATTTTAATTCAAATATATTTTAATTCAAATGTATTTATGCAATATTTTTCTATTTAAATATTATTTCATTTAAACAAAGATTTGTTGAATATTGAAAAAAATAAAATCTTAAAACAAAATTGAGCAAAAGTAAATAAGCGTAAACTGTAAACTGGAAACTTTGAAATTAGATAGATGAGAAATTTGAAATAAATGTAATCAAATTTCATTATAGTGCCTAATTTAACTTCCAATTGCGCCATCATCACGACATACATTCTCTCAAATGTTTTTAATGACCTCGTTCACTT